CTTTCTTTTTCCAACAGCAATCTCTGTATAATCTGGTGGGTTTTTTGGTTTTTTGGTTTTTTTTGGTTATTTGTTAGCTTTTCCTTCCCCTTAGTAGGGATTTGTTTACAGGCAAATTTTTCACTTTTATCCTGACCAGAGATTCCTTAAAGAATATGTCCCCAGGTTCTCTCCACTGTTTTCTGTTTTCTCTCGTTTTCAAGAAGCTTCATATATATATGTATATATATATAATTAGAATATTATTTTGTCCCCATTTGTTTTCTCAACTAAACACTTTACAAATACTTTTAACTGAAGAGCCCCTGGGACCCTGTGCAGCAAATTGGACATTAATATTAGCCTATGACATTAGTAGATTATGATCTTTTCCCCCCTTCACTTAGATTTCTTTAATCAAATTAAACTGTCAGAAACAATAAATAATAATGTAATTGTGGCTGTTTATTGCTGTAAGGCAATCAAAACATACCCACAAAGGCTGAGGCTGTCTGTTGTTCAGGAGTAATTACATTGGGTTTGAGCAAATCAAGTAGGGCAGCTCAGCTTTCATTGGGTCTCCTGGAAAAGTGGGGAATTATTTCAGTGCAAGGGGCATCAGCAGCTCAGCTCCTGTTCATTTCTCTCCTGTATTTTGTACAGTTGAGATGCTGTTTTCCCTAAAGTGTTTCTGGAACGAGTGTTAAAAATACTTGTGAGAGTTGGGATGATGATTATGCAGCTCCTTTGCATAATTCCTTCTGTTATTTAGGTTTAGCAATAGTTGAAGTGGCAGGGCAGCATGTATCCGTCTCTGAGAAATGTTTTTCTGGACACATTATTTCAAGGGAAAGGGAAAATCCAAAAAAGGGTTAGCAAGACTCTAATATATACAAAATACAACGGATTAGATAATGAGGATAAGGCATCATCTCCAGTGTTATTTAGTCTATTATTTATGAGATAATAATACTTGTGTTTTAATGAGAATACTACTCAATTGAGATGTTGCTTGTAGGGATTAATTTGCCCAGCTATCAGGTAGCTAAATCTGTGACAGCCTGCATTGGCTTTGGGGAGTCAGTTTTAACCTGTTATTCAACTTTATTAGTCCCAGTGGAAATTTCAAACCCATCTCTTGCCATTAGTCCTCCCCTATTAACCTCCTTAAATATAAGAATTAATAAAACACTAATAAACAACAAAAAAAAAATTATTTGCTGTCTTGGCCTGTTTTGTAGGAAGAATACAGACCTGAGATTGTTGTTTTTATAAGATTGGCAATGCTGAGATACAGCAGGGATGAGTGTATACTTAGTGATCACACAGAGATAATTTAATCAGTTGCTGAAGAAGTGAATGTATTTCCTTGCTTCATTTCTGTTGGTCTATCTGCATATACACCTATTTTTATGTCCTCTGATATTTCTCTTCTGTAGAGATACTAATCAGAAAATTAGTCTTGAAAGTGTTCATTTTTGTAGTCTCTTTTGTCTCTTGGTAAATACGTGGTTTTGTTCATGTTTCTTAAGCTCATCCTCTCAGTGAATAAGAATAGAATGACCTTGCTTTCTTTCTGATAACCTTTTAGGAAAACACCTGTTTTCCTGCTGATTTTTTTTTTTAAACTACGTCACACCTACTGGACTTCAGATCTTTTTTCCTTTTAGTAATTCCTCTTCAACAGATTGCACATTTTAGTTTCCCACATGTTTGTCATCCTTCTGTGACTAATTCTTCAAATTAGAACCAGGTTCTGCTCACTTAGTCAAGATTGCAGAAAGAGAAGAAGGACTTTTGGCATCAAAAAAAGATGTTTAACAATTCTCTAACTGCCACCCTCCATTATTAGGAAAGCTGTGCTGAGAGCCTGAATTATACTTTGTCCACTTGCAAGTATGAACTCTTTTCCAAGTGCACACTGCATGACAAGGAAACCATCAAAGGAGGGTTGAGAATTTACTGACATAGTATATGGCCTGCTGCAAATAAAATAACTGCAGTTTTTTGTCTGTGTTTGTGCTTCATTACTTAGGATACTGTCTAAGTTAGCATTTCTGAAGAACATCCCCAAAGAAATCTACCTGCTTTATCAAGAGATGTGGAGGAATGCCAGGGAAAAGATTAGAGGAGTTCCTCTGTGGGAGGTACTTTGCATGCTGATGCATCTTTCTCTTTGTTTGTAGTTTATTTGTTTTCCCATTGCTTTATCATTTGTCATCCTCAGGAGGAAGACTTTTACACTAAAGTTTGTAAGTGTACTGGCCAAGTGCCAGTACCTCTCACATTTTCTGTGCTACAGTTCTATTTTCTGAGGGCAGCACAGCAATTGCAGCTTCTACACAGTTCATGAGCCCCATCAGACAGTTGTGCAGGTCAGCTGGGAGTGCAGATCCATGACATTTATCCCATTTGTTCTCCATCCGCAGCCTGGGGTGGGAATTTGAGCCCGTTCCTGGCTGGTCTGTAGCTAACTGCCCTCTCCTCCATTCTCTGTTTTGTCTATCAGGTCTGGACAAACATATTCATGATAAGCTTAATGTCACCAGGCTCTATCCAGAGGGGAGCATTCATTATAGACATGGATCAGAAGCACTGTGTTATCTTACTCAGACTATTTGGTTTTCTCACTCTCGTTAAAATCTCTCTTACTTCAATAAATTGCCCTGGCTTACAGGCAGAGCTAGAGAAATACCTTCAGTATATCAAATTATTTGTCAATTTGTCTAGTATTGGAACCCTAAAACTGCTTGAAGAGACCCTTCAGGATGTTGAGAGACCCACAGAAGCACATTGCTAGCTGAGAGGGAGGAAAAGAAATGACTGTTGTGTTCTGACGTGGTGTTCACTCATCACGTCAGCAGAGTCACTCCTGCTTGTTTTTGAAAGCTTTAACACAAAGGAAGATTTAGCCTATTTCCAATCTGAAAACCTGCCTGACCTCTCAGTGCATGCCTTTTTATGCACTGAATTTGAGCAGTGAATCATTGGGTACACCAACAACCTGCAGTGCTTCCAAGGTTTCTCTTTGGGCTGCAGATATGAGGATGTGGAGATGAGATATTCAGAGCCCTGACAGAGCTGCCTCCCCTTCTGACAGTCTGGTAGGTGATGTTGGTTTCTGCTTACTTTCTGTTTGTGGCCTACAGAAATAAAAAAGTAATTAAGTTTGTTTCCACTGTACATAAAGATAGGAATTGTGTGATTACTATTTTTTAGATGTTGATTCTCCATTAGTTTCAAACCTTGGAATTTTGTTGGTGTGGCCACACTAGGAGCTGTGGACAGAGGCTACAGTATTGCTCAGCCCCTGAGCTCTCTTCTGCAGAGGCTGGGGTGAGAACACAAGGCACATTAGGGTAGATCAGTTCCTGACTAATGTTTTCTTTTGCTTGCCTCTGTAGGCTGACGCAGAAATGGAATTCACGAAAGCCAAACTTTTTGTTAGGTGCAAGGACCCGGAGGAATATGCGTCAATCTCTGTAAAGTGCCATCTGCAGCCTATCTTAGGCAAACTGTTTCCTGATAATTAAGGTTAGTAAATAAGTCTTTTATTTTCCACTGAAATACACAGCAGGGAAGGTCAGAACTAATGGGAGTTTTGGATGCTCAGCAGCTTCCAGGGTTAATTTTTTCTCTGTTGGATTTAAAGCTAACATTTCACAGTCATGTAGGACAAACTGAAGAATGTGTTTGGGAGAGATGCCTAAACTATCAAAGGTAACACTGTTTTATAAGAGTATAGGTGCTCAAAAAATAGAGAGATTTTAAATTTCACTCTTTTAAGTAATCCCATTGTATTATAGGTTCTTTGCTGGTTTTTATTAGCCACAATTACCACAGGGTAGTTTACTCAGGAGAAAATCGTTGCCAATGAACAGAGTGCCAGCCCTTGATTCCATCTCCGAGGAAATAACACCTGCAAGATCAGTCAGGCCTGCTGTGCTTCCCACGTCCTTGACTGCTTGTTCTGTTCATTGTCACTGCAAGGTCACATTTTACACCCAAAAGGCTGTAAATGGATAATGATTCCCTAATATCAAGCAGGGAATGGGAGTCTCAGATATCCTCACAGCCCAGAAATGTGCCTGGCACCTGGATATATTGTTCTAAATACCCTGGATTTCTCTGACCCCTTCTAGCTCAAACACAGGATCATGGGCATCATTTGGGGAAGCTTCCTTACTCAGAGCTGTGAGGATCTGTCTATAACCAGGGTGTTCCACATCTTTGTGACCACTTACTTTGCTTAGCTTAATTCTGAAGTCAGAGGAGCAAATAAAGGGAGAGCAGACCCAAGCTCTGATGAACTTTGAACTTACTCAAATGTGAAGCTGATTAGCTACAATAGAGAGAGCCAACACCATGGTCTAAACAGCCTGAATTTCAGCCCAGTAAGCTCCTGGGTCCAGGTCTTCACATGCATCTTTACCTGTATCCATGTGAGAGATGGAAGCAGATTCAAGTTTTCCCCTTCCCAGAAACACAGGACTGTTTCCCCATTGAGTAATGCTGCTGAGCTGAGAGATGACACAGAGGTTGTCCCAGATCCTGGACCCCTGGGTTTTCCCCAGGTGCCAGGTCACTCCTCACAGATAATTGCTTACCATCATCAACTAAAAGAACTACATCTTCCATGACTAGATTTACAGGTACAACCACTTAAAAAAAAAAAAAAAAAGTATTCACCCACAGTGAGGTAAATATGCAGGTTTATTGCAGCCAAGCCACTCCTTTCTGTGTCATTCCTTCTCAGACATCTGCTCGTGGATGTTAAAGCCCCGAGCACCTTGGCAGGGACACTGAACTGTGAAATCTGCAGCACCTGTAACAGAGGAGCAGTCTTTGGGAAAGAGTTGTCCAAGGAAAAGCAGCAGCTTCAACTTGTGTCCCATTGGAGACAAGTGAATCTGAAGTTATATATTATATAAGACGTAGGTGATGACAGCAGTTTATCATTAACCTGAACTCTGCAAGAACCACATAAGGAGAGAAAGAAGAAGAAAGCCAGAGAAGCAGCCAGGATGGAATCCATCATAAGGATCAACAATGCTGCAGACATCTCTGTTATTGTTCTCTACTTTTTGGTAGTTCTGGCAGTGGGACTATGGGTATGTTGGGATTTTACTTTGTTTTACTTAATGAGCAGGTAGATTATAGAGTCTTGGCAAAATAACTTAGTAAGGAAGAATGTGTAATTTGATAAAGATTTTGATGCTTAATTGAAATAGTTAACAAGTGCATGGTGGGCAAAATGTGGGCACTTGTTTCCATCAGAGGGGATGGTGACCGAGGGAGGCATTCCTTTGGGTGGGTGAATGGAACCAGTGGGGAAGGTGGAGTGATGGGGTTTGTGTGGGACGGAGAGGGTGAAGATCAGCCAGGTCCCTCTCAGAAACAGGCGGGACCCGAGAGGTGGCATTTGGCCACGGAGCCCTGGGGTGCAGGAATTGTGGTGTGAGGTGGTGCCGTAGGAGATAGCGGGGAGGGGGAGCTGCAGGGCTGGGAAGGGAGGGGACGCCGAGTGCGGCCGGGTGGGGGGCGGTGCGGCAGCGCTGACAGCGAGGGGACAGGGACGGGACAGGGACAGGGACGGGACAGGGACGGGACAGGAACGGGACAGGAACGGGACAGAGACCGGACAGGGACGGGACAGGGACCGGGACAGGGACGGGACAGAGACCGGACAGGGACGGGACAAGGACCAGGACAGGGATGGGACCGGGACAGGGACAGGGACCGGGGCAGGGACGGAACAGGGGCGGGACAGGGACAGAGGCCGGGACAGGGACGGGACAGGAACGGGACAGGGACGGGAAAGGAATGGGACAGGGGCCAGGACAGGGACGGGACAGAGACCAGACAGGGACGGGACAGGGACCGGACAGGGACGGGACAGGGACGGGACAGAGACGGGACAGGGACGGCAGAGCCGCCTCGGCCGAGCTGCGGGTGCCGTCGGAGGGCAGGTGCCGGGGCTGTGTCTGCAGGGGCAGCCCCTCTGCAGGGCGCGGAGCAGCCCCAGAGCTGTGGGCAGGAGCAGCCCCAGGTCTGTGAGCAGGAGCAGTCCGGGGCTGTGAGCAGGAGCAGTCCGGGGCTGTGAGCAGGAGCAGCCCGGGGCTGTGAGCAGGAGCAGCCCCAGGTCTGTGAGCAGGAGCAGCCCGGGACAGGCGCTGGCAGCGCCTCTGCTCTCGGGCCGAGCCCCGCGGTGCCTCCAGCGCTGCCAGGGGAGCCCCGAGCCCCGGGAAACAAAGGCCCGGCAGCCAGGGGACAAAAGCAGCGCTGGGACCCCTGAGCTGAAGCGTTTGAGAGGATGGCCAATGCCCTGAGCCACCGGGGAATGGCACTGAATTCGGGGTCCCTGGGGCGAGCCCTCCTGGCCACCTAAACACCCGACCAGTAAGGAGCAGAGAGGAGGGATTGCCCTTCAGGAATCCTCTGCTTTCCAGGAGCATCCCGACAACATTTCACAGTGCAGAAAAGCCAGCTGCAGGGCAAACATCCCTTTCTAACAACCTGGCAATATTTTGAGGGGCACCAACAATTTACGGTTTGCATAGAGTGGACACAACCTTTTCTTTGCCTCTTCAGCACAGGAACAGAGGCCAAAAATATAGCTAAAAACCTGAAGCCTCAGTCCACCAGAACACCTTGTCTGGCAGGAGGGAGCTGGGTCTTACCATGAGAGCCTGGCTGTTGCTGTAGTTGAACTTCATGTTAAAGATCTCTGACAATAAGGGGCTGATCTCTGCCTTCTCAAGCCATTGTGTGCTCAGCTAATTCCTGGAGCCTTTTCTTTCCAGCCATGAAGACATGGTTACTGGACAAATACTTACTCAGTTGCTGTGTGTAGTTAAATGTAAATCCATCATATTTACTTCCTTTCTTCTATATCGGAAGAAAATATATGGATATTTTTCCCAGGCCTTCTTTCTCTGTTTACCTGTTCAAAGTCCATCAGAGATGACAATGGAAATCCAGTAAATAACGGCTCAAGGTCATTAATAAAAATTGGAGGAAACTTCCCTCTAAGGCCCATCCCTTGACAAAGACAATATGAGTTTGTAAAAAGGAAATTTTAGCTGCCTTCTTCTTTTGGAACTTCAGAGGAATCAGACACAGTGCTGATATAACAAGAAAACAGATACCTGTAGGGGCAGGATGGTATTGAGTAAAAAAGCTGCATATTTTCTGTAAATAAACTTGCACCTTGTAGTCTATTTTGATGCCTGGAAGCAAAGGCTTTTCACTCCAATGAAAAATTCATGTGAGCTTTTACTTGAGTGATATTTTTTTCTTGGTTAAATTTAATTTTATTTAGTGTTTCACACTATAATGAAAGGTAAAGGAATGAAACTTGAATGGCTAATGCAGACCTAGATAAAAGAATCATTGTTCCATTGTATAATTTTCTTCATCATAAGGTTGTTCTCTGTTTTTTCCACTTTACCCTGCCCGTGTGTTTTTTTATCCCTTCATTCTACCTGTTTGTTCTCAGCCTGTGTACACTTGAACTATGATGAAAACTTTCTTGTTTCCTTTTTTGCAGGCTATGTACTCCACCAACCGAGGCACAGTGGGGGGGTTTTTCCTGGCTGGACGCAGCATGGTGTGGTGGCCGGTGAGTGCTGTGTGTGAAAACGTGGGATGGGCATCTGCACCCTGGCACTGCCCAGCCTGACATATCCAGAGCTCTGGGACACTGCCCAGGCTCTGATGGCTTTGTTGTGTGGCTGCAAATCCAGCTCTTTCTCCAGCCCTGGTGTCACAGGGTAGACTGCACAAACAAAGCCATGGGATGGGCAGGGGAAGTGTTGGGGAGGTTGTCTGAGCTGTCTTGATTATGTGATCAACTTGTTTGAACATAAATGCATTGGTAATGTCAGTACAGACAAATCCAGTGCTTTGCCTTTCATCCCACTTTAAAACTCTCCAACATTTGGACTCTGGTCTTTTCATTGCACTCAAAGAATCTGGCTCATTTTAAGGGTATCACAGACAGGAATTAGTTTACTGAAATTTTCCCCTTTATTGCTCTATTGTTTCTACTTTTGGTAACAAATTCTGGTCTGCACAAGGAGAAAAATCCTGGAAATTGGTAAAATATATTTTAAGTGTATTTAAAGATTAGCTGTGTCTTACCTTGATTGTCTTCTGTGGATCTCTATTATCTTCTAAGGTAGAGAATGGGAGTCAAAGCTACAAAGTGGTTTTAGCCATCCATTCCATTAGGCCATTTGGCAGAAATTGTATTAGAAACAATTAGCTGTTTCTTCCTGATCATACAGTCTCTTTAATATGAAAAGCAAACAACTTAGACTGACCTGCATTTTCTGTACTTGGAATACAGGAAATGGAATCGTGTTTTACATGATTCTGTTTGTTTGAATGAATTCCTCAACACTTCTGATCTTGCATTCAGTCTCAGAAAATGTTTCTGCACTTCATTAAGATTTGGGAGTCAAGACTCCACACACATTGATTCAATTAGAGGACCAGAAGAGTGAGAGTAAATATTGGTTCCCTGAAGATTTAGGATTTTTTTTTTGAAGTAGGCTGCAGAAATACCTACACACCTTTCAGTCCTGTGCTTCAGGGAGCTGCTCTGTGCCTTTAGAAGGCATTGGGACAGCCTCTTTCAGGACATTAAAGGATTAAAGGCCAATGACAGTAAAAGGTTTCTTCATCTGATGTGGTAGGTCTAAGAAAATTCAGGTTCCTTTGGAAGATTGAGGAAAGAGAAAGTTTCCAAGTTATTTTAAGATAAAAGCCATTATTCTGGGAGAGGAGAAGAAAACCTAACAGATTACTCTTAACTGTAACCAGGGGGCTGGATTTAACCTTGTGCAGTTCTGTCTGCCTGACAAGGGGACATGAATATCCTTTTGTGCAGATGTAAATGGAGATGGAGGGAGCAAGGCAGCCAAGACTCACCATAGGAAAGTTCTGTCTTGCTCCAGTGGCACTGAGAACTCCTCATGATCCCCCTGAGGCTCGGGGAGAGGATCTGCCACCGAGTCCTCTGCCAGCACAGACCCAACAGACCCAGCAAGCTCCCCTCCTGCAGTGGGGAGCCTGCAGGGATCACCCCACAGTTCCTGCCAGGATCCCCTCTCTCCTACCAGACTCTGTGAGCTCAGTGTGGACAAAGTGCTAGTCCTCAGTGCAGTCCTAGATCTCCTCTTCAGTCCTTCCCTTTGGAATGCCAGGAGTTGCTTCCCATGCCATAAAAATGAACCCTTCTTGCTATTCTTCCTCGTATCACTCAAAATAAACAAAGAACAAGCACTCCAAAACCACAAACTAAATAACATGTCAGCAGCACCACCCTGGAAAGTTTGCCTTGGTTCCAAAACACCAATTCTCACAGCTTAGCAGGTAGATGGGATGTCAATCACCCAGAGCAAACTGGGCTGAAATGATGATGAAACCAAGGAAAGTATAGGAAGTTTAGTCAGAGATGTGATCTCAGCTCTGCAATTGCTAAAGCTGTGTGTGATGTTTTACTTTGTGCTTTGACTTCTCTGTTGTGCCAAGTCAGATCTAACCAGGGATGGTTCTGGACAGCCTCAGTGCATTTCCACAGAAAGGGTGGGGGCAGTTGTTTCGCAAGCGGACTCTTGTTTGTCAGATTTCTCCCCTGCCATTTCAGGATAATGACCCTTGTCATGTAATTGCTTTCTGGAACAGAACAAAATGAAGAAAAAAATCCTTCCACAAACTTGGTATAAAGTTAAATCCCCTCAACTAACTGTGTTTTTCAGTTGTTGTCTGTATTCTATGCTCTGCAGGGCTTTTCTGACCCTGGAGGGAAGGAGGCTCATTAGCAGGGTGTTAGGATCTCTTAATGACAAACTGGGGAAGGGATTGTCTTCACTTAAACCATCTCATATCTCTGGTTTGGTAGACTAGAGGAGACCCTGGTGATGAAGAGCTAGAGATTATTCCTACTTTTAGTGTGGATTTTGAATGTTTTAGTCACTGGCAAACTGTGATTTTGATTTGATTTCTCAATGTATAAAGTAGGACCAAGACACATCTTGGGCCAAATCTGTCCTGCTTTGGCTCTGGTTGTTCTGCTCCAGCAGAATCCAGGAAAGTTGCTCAGCATTTTGCAGAACCAAGCCCACAGAGAGTTTTCTGGCTGATGTGAGAGTTCACTTCCCTGGAATCACTGCCCTTATGCAGTGGCTGAGCCATTTCAGTAGTTCCACGGTTAATTAGGGATAAAGGTATATAAGAACATTCTCCCAGATTACCCGAAACTGAAATCTTTTGTTGGTTAGTCATAACCTAAGAAATGCTTACGAAATGCTGTGCCCTTTCCACCGTCTTTTCATAGAATCTGACAGAAGAATCTTCAGGAAACTGGTCTTGGTCTCTTGGGCTTTGAGGGAAATATCTTCAGGAAAGGCTCATGGCTCTTTAAATCCTCTTAATCAGCTCTGCTTTTTCCAAAAAGACACAGAGGAGTTCAAGGCAATGACAGCTCTGTAGCAATGGGCCTTGCCAACTTCAGCTTCCTTTGCCAGATGAAGGAGTTGGGTTCAGCCAAATTCTCCCTGCCACTGTAGGACATGAAGTATCTGTTCCTGCAGAGCAGTCAGCTTTGGTAGCAGCCACTCTCACAGGACTGACAGCCCTTCATGCACAATTAAAAAACCTCAAACTTTTGAAGCTTTCCTGCTTTTGAATTTTCTTCTTCAGGTTCTGTAGTTTTGCAGACAGATCTGCCTGCACAAAATTATGGGTTACCTTCTATACCTCATCTCCTGAGGCATGGATGGTCTAGGACAAAGAGTATCTGCTGGCCATGTGAAGGGCAGCTCTGCTAGAAAGATTTACTGAACAGCAGTGCAGGGTCAAGGGCACTCCAAAGAGAAATGTAACTCAGCTTGTTTCTGGTCATGTACATCTAGATCTTTGTGAGGCAGATAAGAATTAGGGGAAAAAACCCAACAGATTCTTGCTTCAGCTGTGCACAGCTAATCTTTGTGGCCATCAGAACTGACCACTGGCATGATTTCTCTGATCCTTGCAGCCAGGTAAGTTTCACATAGTCTCAGGTGTTGCCTCTCTATCCTCACACACTCAGGATTTTGCCCACTTGCTGAATCTGACACTGCTATGAGGAACCAGGAACAACAATTCAATTCTGCTGTGAATAAGATTTGCATTTCCTTTTCTTAGGTAAAGTAGAATGAAAAATTACCTTGTCAAGTTCCATGCAAAAAAAAAAAAAAAAAAAAAAAAAAAAAGGGTAAAAAAAAATGAATAGTTTTCAGGGTAAAAAGAAGAATGAAGTAATCAAAGCAAAGCTCTGATAGAAAAATAAAAGTTCAGTGAAATGGATTTCTATAGAATCTGTGAGACTTTCCAGCTGGCTGGGAGGTGTTTTTTCTGTCTCAGAGTACAAAGTGGGGAGGTGTCAGATCCTCCTGAGCCTGAGCTGTTCCAGGTTTGTTGGAGCACAGACATTTTGATGATTATTGTCCATCCATCCCTCCTGCTTAGTACACTGGGAATTGTAAAGATGTGGCTTAATTGGGTAATAATGCAATTCATAGAATTTTCAGATTAATTGGGAAAGAAGAATAAAACCCCACACTTCCTTCTTTGGGTCTCAGAGCCCTGGAAGTGTGGCAGTAATATTGCATTGTACTGATTTTTCAAAAGTGACTGAGTGTGATCCCAAAAACTCAGGTAGGAAAAGTAATGCCTTTGCATCAGGTAAAGTCACGTGTTGCAGGGTAGAGCTGTTAAAGAAAAGCATGAACAGCCTCAAGGAGTAGGAATGAGAAATGTGTCAGGGAAGAGGGATTTGGGAACAGCTTCTGCAGGGGTGATACCTCAGGGATGGCTCAGGAGCCTGTGGGTGAGAGGAGCCCCTGCTGCTCTAAGAACCAGTGGGAAGAGGTTTGGTACTGAGCTCATGGCTGCAGGAGGGTGGCAGGGGGCAGGGGGATGTGCTGGCAGGGACAGGAGCCACAGGCTGTGCATTCTGCACACTGCCACTGCAGAGTGCATCCACCCAGCTGGGAATGGCCAGGGCCAGGATGTCACTGCATCCTCCACCTAGTGAGAAGAGCAAGGTGAAAGAGTTAATGAGTAACAGGAAAAAACACAGTGATCATCATCTGTTTCAGGGTGGTGGTACTTCTGCTGAACAGAGTGCTCTTGTTAAGGCCTGACCTCTTAAAATGTATTAAAAGAGTTAATGTTCCACGTTTGCCTCAGGTTAGTTCAGGTTTTTCATCCTCTTTCCCTCTTAGCAGCTTTTGTCCCTTTCAACCAACTTTCTTCTCCACCTTGCCTCCTAGATCTGTCTTTAAAGTCAGTTCACTCACACATTCACTGAGAACAGTTAACACTTGCAGAAGATTGTTTCCCTCTGCCATTCCCAGTTTCAGTTTTTAAGATGTTCAGCAGCATCTACCAATGGCAGATCAAGAATTCCAGTAATCAGCCTTTCCAGTACAAAAATCCCACAGCAGTAAGTTCTTCCACAAGGCAGCTTGGGCCCAGAACCCATCTGCTTTCTTTCCTCATCCTTAAAATATGGCAGATGGGAAATTTCTCTTTCCCCCCTGGCATCAGCAGCCAGTGGGCTGTGAGGGTATTTGGTCAGCACTCTTCTTGCTGTGACCATGCTGCAGATTTAAGAGTAATCTGCATTTCCCTGGCTGTGAAGCCATGTTCTCCCTTCCCAGGTGTATGACATAACTGAAACCTATTTTTAAATTGCATCCATTATTAGTATATGTTGATCTTAAAGTTCTGCTGCACTGGATGTTCCCTAATTCAGAGAAAAAAATTTAGGATGCGAATGTGGGATCTGCATTCACATTGTTTTGTCCTAGTGCTGGTCCTGAATATGTTGGTAGTTTTGCATTAGTTTGGTTTGGTTTTGTATTTTTCTTTCAATACAATGCTATTTTAGATAAATTTGAGAACACAGCATGAGCAGCATTGCCTGCAGCATGTCCTGGGGTTTCAGGCACTGAGCCAAAGCTTGTGCCTGTCAGTTCTCAACGTTCTTCTTCAGCCGCTTTTGTTACTTGGATCTGCCTTTAAGCTTTTGAACCAGGAGAGGGAACACATTCAATAAAATCAGAGATTAATGTGGTTAATATTTTCTGGTGATTGCATTTCTAGTAACCTAGATTTAAGTTTAATTATTTATCTCCAAGGAAAGCATTGGGCAACAGTGCTAATGCTTGGTAGAAGTGGCACTTTTTTCTTCACTATCATTTCTGGAAAACTGTTGCTGTCACAAAGAGGTTAGAAGAAACAGAGGTCTTTTGTTTGTTGCAAAACTTATCAGTCCTGTAGAAATGTCATATGACCAACTGGTTACAGTTCTGTAGGGCACAAATGGCTTTTAGAAATGTGTAGAAAAACCCCAAATCCAGTAGCGAGTGAACTTAGAAACATAAATTTCCTGTCCCAGCAAAAGAACAGTTTGTCTGCAGAAAAAGACTTGAAGAAATCAGGAGATCAAACTGAGGGAAGAGAAAAACAGTAAGCCTGGAAAAGAAAGAGTGGAACCCTCTGAATTTTATTTGTGTGTTGCAAATAAAAATAGGGGAGGATAATCTATTTGTTATCAGAGATCAGGATTGTGGGTTGAAGAGTGTGCTTGCTATTTCTGGCTATGCCATAGCTCTGTAGAATAAATCTGCTCTGCAGAGGTGGATTTCTAGGATGAAATCCTTCATCCTCCCAAAACTCAGGAGATCATCCCTGTGCTCCCAGACACATTGCTTGACTATTTGCTGCTATTCAAATCAGTTGGACCCAATGATCCTTGTGGGTTTCTTCCAACTCAGGATATTCCATGAATCAAAGAAGTGCATTGGAAGAGGTCAGCAGAAATTCCCTTGCCTGCTTTCTATGTGGTTTTCTTTTTAACCCTGTTTATTGTTGTTGTTGTTGTTTTAGCTTTCAGAGGATGTAAGAAAAAAATAGAGAAGAATAAAAAAATGTTCACTTTATTTTTTCATCTCAGAACTCTTCCAGCTTCCTTGTCCTCTGCCCACAATACTCAATCCAATCCAACCTCTTTTTTATGCCTGACTTCTCAGCCTGCATGCTTCAGTACCTGATCCAGTAAATTATCACTGGGTATTTCTGCTGCCTTTAATGTGTTCATTTGGAGGAAATGAAGCTCATTCCTTTTCATCTTTTCTATTGTCTAAGACACTTGATTAAGAATTATATCTTTGTGAATGGCTCCTGCCTGTCTGTAAACCAACAGGAACCTTTCATTTTTTTAATCTTCCCTGTTCATCAGTTCCCATGTTCTCCCTAGTGTTATGCATGTACTCCATACTGTTTGTATGATAAGTGCAATATTTGGGGGTCTTAAAGATCCAGCACTTCTTAAATATAACTCCTTGATTTACTGTTTACTGTTACTCCTAGCTTCCAGAGGCATTTTCTCAGCAGACATTCCTGCTATGCAGCTTTCAGGATTTAATTCAGTAATCAAATACCTTTTGGCTAAAAGTGAACCGAGTCCAGCTCTCACCAATGGCACATTTGGATGCACAGGCTGTGCAAAGTGGAACAGGGAGTGCAGCTTTGACAGGTGGGGATGCCCTGGTCACTTCCTCCTTGAACAAGGAGATCACAGTCTTCTTCCCTGATTGCCTGGATATCATCCCAGTGTCTGTTTGGCAAGTTTTGCAAACATTTTAAAATCTATATTGGTGTAATATATTTTTTTACTCAACTGGAAGATATTTTATTCAGCATCCTATTCTCCCTCACTCTTGTAGATGTGATGGCTGGAGGCTCTGGTTTCAGAGGGAACAAGTGGGAGTCCTGCAAGTTCTCAAGGAAATCGATTGTCAGTCATTGTCATCACCACCACCACAGACAGGCACGAGTTCAATGTGCCAAATGAAGGGGATTTTTTAGCAATTCCCATGAACATAAGAGCCAATTTTTGTTTTTTCTCTTTGCAGATTGGTGCTTCTCTGTTTGCCAGCAACATTGGCAGTGGGCACTTTGTGGGAATAGCAGGAACAGCAGCAGCTGGAGGAATTGCCATCGGAGGATATGAGTGGAATGTAAGTGGCATATATGTCAGGGAAATACTTGTGACATCTGGATTATCTGCAGAGCTTAATCAAAATAACATTGCCTAGTAATTTAGGACTGTCAAAGTTTGTGCTTGGCAACACTTGTTTTCTGTTCAGACCAGTAAGAGCCAATGTAATCTAGCATTTCTAAACCACTGGAAAAGGTGACACTTTTCAGTTGAGGCTTTTTAGAGGAGCATTTGAACCAAATAAGCTGGTGGATTTTCTTCTCTATGCATGTATTTTATTACTTTTAAAGTATTTGTGAACAACATTTTCAGACTGCGGGATGCTGGGAAGAATTTATCAGGTAATCCGTGGTAATTTTTGCAGCATTTTGCTATGTAGAAATTATTGAAGAGGCTTTGATTTCTTCACAGGCTGTAAGGAATTTTGAACATCCTTCACAAGCACCTGCATTCCAAAAACCTTTTCTTCTTTACCTTCTCCTTCCTGTAATTCTGCAAGTGTTTTGCTTATGTTTCCAGCAGAGGGTAGAGACATCCGGCACATGTAATTGATACAGAAATGAGCTTCCCGGAGTGCCAGGGTCGGTGTCAATGCAGCAGACTCCCCTGAACGAGTGCAGTCCATTTCCTTGTGCTGTCAGGCTCTGAGGGTGCGGCTGACAATGTCGCTGTTGTGCCCAATTCACCCTCGGGGAGGGAATTAGCCATGACACAAAGGGTTGAAAGAGCCTCCACAGGTCGATACTGCCCTCGAATTTACTGCTGGGCAGCGAAAGAATCCTCCCACCCTGGGGGATTTATTCTGTTCCTTTTAGCAAGTAAATGGTTGGTGCAAATAATCAAGTACTGGTATGATATAAATGTTTAAGGAAACGGGACAAAGCTTAAAATGAACTGCACGAGATGTGCAGTTTCTGTCAGCTCCCTCTTTTTGGTTATATCAGGCCTATGGCAGACCTGATTCTCCTTCTTTTTCCAGCAGAACAAAGCAAATCAAAACAGAACACAAATCTCTAGGGCCCATATCCTTCTTCAGACACCTCTAACCCTTTATCTCCTGAGAGGTTCCTGCTGGAGCAGCATCAATACCCAGTGTCCAGCAGTGGTGGCTGGGAGCAGCAGTGATGTCCGTGGGTGTTTGGGCACACACACTGCAGAGTTCATGACTTACAGTGGCACAGTTAACACACTTAACAGAAGCAATGAAAGTGATGCCAGGTTTGACTGTTGTCATCCTTGTGTGTCCCTGTTCCATTCAAATTATTTTTATTTTGTATCAGAATGACAGCAGAAGCTGACCCAGTATTTCTTGTCCATCTTACAGTTTTGACCTAAGGGCAGAACTTAAAAGATACAGTTTAAAAGCCCTCTAAGCCCTGTGGACAAAATGAATACAGAGTGCAGCGCTGAGGGCAGGAATTTGTTTTGTATTTGTTGATTTAGGTATGTGCAACTCGATATTGGACAGCATTCCAGCCATTTAAGTCAGAAAACTGTAGCACTGCTATAAGTAAGATCAGTAGTTCACAGAATACACATGGACACACAAAATATATTATTAAATTGCAATATAAAAATACAAAATATTTTACATGTGGTGCATCCTGTACAGTCAATGAAATTGTTGTAAAGCATTCAACCATCCTGGGCTTGCTCTGAGGAGAGCTGGGGTAGTCTGGTGCCTCTGGTGGAGTTGTCATTCAATACTAGAGGGCAATCCTGTGAGGAGAAATCAGCTGGTTTTGTAGAAAATACATAATCATGTGTGCTTCTTTGGGACAGCTAGCATGACACCTAGGCTGCATTATACCTGATGAAGTTTTTAGCCAAGATTTCATCTCCAAATTTTCAACTGTGAATCAAAGGACAGAGCAGAACCTCCTCCCCCACACCCCTGCAGTACCCAGGTTTTTGTGATTTCACTGGTCTCTAGCTGCTGTTGGCTCTGATAAATGGTCTTTGGGAGCAGTGTCTAGAGACAGGAGGCTAATTCAGCTGCTCTTGTCTTGGCTGCAGGCTCTGATATTTGTGGTGGTTCTAGGATGGATCTTTGTACCCATCTACATCAAGGCTGGGGTAAGTCAAACCACACCATTGCACTTGTCTTGCTGCTCATTTCTGCAGCCCAGGGCTGGAGTACTGCAAAGTCATTATGAATGGCACGAGATCCCAGTGTGCCAGAGCAGCACTTTGTTGTATCTGTGTACTTGAAAAATGAGGATTCTCTGTTCTAAGGCCTGAGCTGAGAAGTACTTGGTGCTCTCTCCTTGTTCTCCTTTGATTCCTGGAGCTGCTCTTCCTTGAAACTGCAATTACAGTCTCCTAATTTTGTGCTCCGCTCTCACAGTATCTGAGTACCAAAAATCTTCCTGTAATTTGATTTGTACCTGTTCCCCATGAGCTGAAACCTTCTCTGCCTCCCCAGGTGGTGACAATGCCAGAGTACCTGAGGAAGCGTTTTGGTGGGAAGCGGATCCAGGTCTACCTGTCAGTCCTGTCCCTGATCATTTATGTTTTCACAAAGATCTCAGTAAGTGAAACTTCTACAGCAATTTCTTCCATCCTACACTGACCTAAAGAAAAGAAATGCCCTTTTACAATATTGCTCTCACAACTGGTCAGCCATTTCAGGTTTGGAGCTCTTGGCTGAATCAACTTCTGTAAAAATATGATTTTGTGTTTTATTTGTTCTGTCCAGTGAGACTCTGTGCTGCAATCAAAGGTTTTTTCTTCCTGGCAGTGTCTCTTGCTGCTTGTTGTGCTTGTCCTCTTTTTGAAGTTTTAGGGTTTACTTTTATATTTGCTCTCTTCTAGAAAACATCAGAGTGGAGGGAAATTTGTATTGTATTATGGTCTGTTATCTTAGAGATCTGTGAAATCCAGGGCAGGAATTTTTGTCCCTAGATTTCATATTTATCTGTTTTAGTATCCTCTGGTGAACATGCCATCAGTAATATAGATGAGGGAAAAGAGCAAGGGGACTATGGATAAAAAAAGAATAACAAGAATTAGAAAATGTAAGAGTGGGGAAATGGAAATGAGGGAAATTGTAACAGCCGAGGTGAAAGGAGGGAAGAGGAGATTCTTTTAATGGGCAAGTGATTGGTGTAAACTTTAAGGTACTATGAAGTTAATGTTTATTAAGTAAATGGATGTGTTTCTGTGGAGTAGTAAAGGGAGCTGGTATTTTCCATATGTCTTGAAAGTACCAAGCTTCTAAGGAAGTCCACAGTTCAGGCATACTTCAGTCTGTTGTTTTGCAGAAGTTGTCATGGCAGATTAGTCTTTGCCCTCTGAATGGGAGCTGAGTGATAATAGTGCAATTTAAGCTAAAAGATTGGCCTTTTGCTCTCATTCTCACATTATAACTGATCCTTAGAGAGGTTATAAATTAAACAGGTTGGTAGGATGAGCTGGCCTCAGAGCTGGATTTCTGTATATTTCAAAAGGATTAGAGACTTTGCTGTGGTTGTGCTCAGCTCTCAGAATCAGAACTCCTGGGTACAGCACAGAGTTCTGGAGGTTCCAGCAGCAGAGAAACTCCTCCAGTCAGAGGCTCACAGCCCTTTCAGCAACACATGCTGGTGGTGAGCCTATCAAGGTGCTACACAGGTTCTGAATTTACTACCCAGCTTTGATTTCCAGCCTGTGTCATGCCTGAGGCTCTCATTACGGGATTTTTCACCATTTCAGTTGGAGTGTCCTGTTTCCAGGAAAAACAGGTTCTTCATTTAAGCTTCCAGTGTGGTCATGAGGATTAAACACCCTCTCCATAGTTAAGGGATCCACACAGCAGCAGCTTACCTGGGCCCCACTCTAGCACTGGCCCACCCCAGCTTCCCATCAGCCCCTTTATTCCAGGTGTTTGTGGGGAGCTGCCATGGTCTCTGTGCTGTGCAGGGGAAAACATGGTGTTCCATTTCCTCTAAGCATTTCTTTTGTTTCCCCCAGCTGCCCTGAGCAGCTCTGGCAGTGTCTGTGCCTGTGCAGGTGAGATTCCTGCAGTGCACAGACAGGGCTCTGCATTGCTGCCTTGTGCAGTGCATTTGGACGGGCAGGATCTGCCCAGGACTGATTTATTTGCTCTGTCTGGTTCAGATTAGGCAGAGCAGCCAGTCCTTGGAGGTTTCAGATGCTGTCAGAGGATCTCAGAGTAGGTTTTGCTATGCCAAGCTGTGCAGCCCCATGTTCACACGGTGGCCAGAGCAGGGAGGGAAGGGCTGCAGGGAGCTGTGCTGTGGGGAGAGGCACAAGCACAGGGAGGGAGCACAGCCTCCCTCCCCACAGACACGTTGGAAATCCAAACACATCCACGTGTTGACAAGCCATTGTATTTTACTTCCCGCAGCGCTGCCTTGGCAAACACTCCCCTGTGATCACTGGGGCGCTCTGGGATTTGATAGAGAAGGATGGGCTGCTGCCCTGCCCAGAATGGGAGGTCACACCCACCAGCAATTCTCACTGCCTCTTATCCTCGCAGAAGAGAGGCATCTCTTGCTTCTGGGGTAGTTATTTCATGTGCTTCTTCCTTGCTGTGTTGAAATATTATGTAGCATACTTAATAACATAATTATAACAATGCTTTCTAGGGAGCAGTATCACATACCAGGTGGTGTGACTCCTGCTGTGCTTTCTGGCACAGTGCCACCACCCTCTGAGGATCAGATTCCCTTCACACACCTCTACAGTGTCCTCACCATTTCTCTTTCCTTGCACATTTTCTGTGGGTTTTCTTGATTTCTTACCTTGCTTTGTGGCTAATCAGCCACTTGACAGACAAGGACATGCTGCAAGGAGTTCATCCTTGGGATCAGGACACATGTGATTTTTGAGCCCAAAGGATCTCTGTCATACAGGGACCTCAGCTGTTCCTGCTCCCTAAGTGTGCAGCACATTATGAGTAGTGCCCACAGCAGCTTGCAGAGGCTTTTTAGCCACTAGTGTTGATGGTGTTGGTCATTATGCCAAAGGAAATGGTCTGGGAAAAACAAAGTCTTGGTGGATAGTAATAGACTAAGTTATGACAAGACAAAAAGGAATTAAGGTCTGAATGTTGTTGAAGAAATCAGAAATCATAAACTGAAACTTCTAAATCTGTTACAGCATTGTCTCTCTGTTCATTGTGCATAATTTCAGTAGGAAATCTATGGGCATAGACTTCCCAGGGGAAAGAGGAAGAGAAGAATAACTTTCTCCTAGGAGTGCACAGTGCAGGGGTTAGAGTAGGTGCTCCTGCTCTGGCACCCACAGGATACACCCAGCTGCACTTGCCTGGCCAGCTGTCCCTTTGTGATCCCTGCCTTTGCAGAGATAGCCTGTAGTGTACAGGAAAGAGTGACTCTAATTAGAGATTAGCTAAAGATTGTCTATAAAAGAGTATGAATGGAGAAACAGGGAAGTATTGGAAGGCAATAATCTTACTGGGGAGGAGGAGCAGTGAAGCTGGAAGATAACTCAGCAATTTGAAGACACTGATACGTTTCTCAGAATGCTCAATAATTAACTATACATTTCTTGGTGGGAATCATTTTAGGCCCATCGATATTTAATGATATGTAGGCTAAACTAAAGCCAAGAACAATAAAATAAACGTCTGGAACACAGACTGATTAGTGGTGTGAAAAGATAGGAAACAAATTACCATAGAGAGATGGGGCAAAGGATATGGTCCGACAGCCACTGGGGTAGGAGCTAAAGGTCCTGGTTCCCAGTGCCAAGGGAAAGCCTCTAAGGAATCTGCTCCAGAGGCACTTTTGGGAGTGGGAGCTCTGCTGTGACTCTGCTGCACAGCAGTGGCTGTGTGCCAGCACAGTGGGGCTGCAGAGGCCCAGCCCGTTCCTCCTTTTCAGCAGGAGCCAGGGAGAGCTCCTGCCCTGCAGGCTCATTTCGGTGTCTCGGGAATGAAGGTGGTTTTTCCCTCTGGCATCTCCCAGGCTGCATCCCTCCCAGCTGGGCTGTGACCCCCGGCTCTGGCCGGCCCCTGGAGCCCCCGCAGGGCCGCGGGGGGACGCTGGAGCCCAGGGCTCGGGCAGAGCTCTGTGTCTGCTTCAGCTGGTGGCCCCCACGGGGACTTGCTGCCAGCTGAGCATGGCAGAGCCCTCCATGGCGCTGGGGATGCAGAGCAGCCTCTAATGAAAGCATCATTTACAGTAAGGCACCACAAGTGCACCGGGGCAGATTATTCTGATTGCAAACTTGTGTAAATAACACTGATGCCAATTATCTCTGAATCAGGAACTGATTTAATGGGATTAACATCCCAGTGTTACTCTGAAACCTGAACAATTCCTTCCTTACTCAAGAGCTAAAGGTTTCCTCTCTTGGCCAACCACTGTCAATTCTTCTGACAGGAACTGAAAAATGGAAACCATGTAAGATGTTTGCCTTCAATGCAAATACAGTGTTTGTCCTGAGCCAGCAGGACGACCTACAGCACACCTGAGCAGTAAAGGGAAAGAGATTTGTAGGTGACACTGAAGGAAGAGAACTGTCCTGGAGGTGTCACACAGTCCAGCCCTGCACACAGCAGCAAATGAACTCACTCAGTTTTAAGCAGCTTGTTTTGAATCTGTCTCTTAGTGCCTAAGTACTGAGCAGTGAGGTAACTGTCTAGAGAAAACAACCCTGGTAAAAAAGGCCTGGAAATTCTCTGAGAAGTGTTACACCTCTTGTACTAAGAACTCCACAGTTCTGAGGGGACACTGGCAGGTGCACAAAAATGGCTTCTATTTTCTCTTTGACTTGTGTGTGCAGTACTACAAGGGGCAGAGTTGTGTATTTCAGTGTCTTCATTATGGAACTATAATGTCACCATGAACCTAAACGTGGCTGAACCTACCATTTTTTCTTTTCTAGGCTGACATCTTCTCTGGAGCTGTATTTATCCAGCTGGCCATAGGGCTGAATCTTTATTTGGCCATAATTATCCTCCTTTCTATTACTGCTCTTTACACCATCACCGGTGAGTTTGCAGAGCAGTCTGAAAAATCAGAGATGTTGAGGGAGGCAGAAGAAAGAGAAGTGAAAAAAAGGGAGAAATGAAAACCTGAAAGGGGGTTATTTATAGTGGTCCTTGAATGACAGTGGTGGTGAGAAAAGGGAAGAAAAGAAAAAAGCATTTCCACTGAGACATTTGCCCAGGACTAACTTATTTGTCCTGACTTCTCTGCCATCAGGTGGCCTGGCAGCTGTGATTTACACAGACACCCTACAAACATTCATCATGGTATTGGGATCCTTTATTCTCATGGGATTTGGTAAGTAAATCAGATGAATTAAACTGGAATGTTCAGCCACAAATCTTGCAGTGGCTACAGGAATGAATCCTGCAGTGTGAAACTGTCACCTTAACCAGGAGGTTTCAGCTCCTGTATCTATTTATCAGGGAAGAAACCAGGCATGTTGCCAAAAGTCAGGCATCTTTAGTCACTGAGTCTCTGTCTCCCAAGCACAAGTGAGTGTGTAAGGTAACAAACAGCATCCCATGGCAGGATTTTTATGCCCACATGAAGGAGGCTTTTCTCCTCACACTCTCAGGCTCTGAGATTTCAGTAATAAATCCTTTATTGCCACTTTTATTTTCTGTGTTTCAGCATTTGCTGAGGTAGGAGGGTATGAGGCTTTCATGCAGAAGTACATGGAGGCCATTCCCTCCAACATCTCCTATGGGAACACGGCGGTGGATCCCGCGTGCTACACCCCCCGCCAGGACGCCTTCCACATCTTCCGCGACGCCACCAGCGGGGACCTGCCCTGGCCAGGCCTGGTCTTTGGCCTCAGCATCCTTGCCATGTGGTACTGGTGCACTGATCAGGTAATGTGGGAGCCCAGCACCTTGCAAAGGCCAAACACAGAGCTCTGTGCTCCAGGGTGAGCTTCCCCTGCAATGCAAAGCTGGGCCACAGAACTGGCTGTTGTTTCAAGACTGGTCAGTGACTGTTCAGTTCCTGGTTTCAAGGCATCTCTCACATGTAGGAAAATGGAATGGGTGTTCTTTCAAATCTTCCTGCACACCTCTGCCCAGCAGATACCACATCGGCCTCCTTTCTCATTTTTTATGTGTGGCATTGTGTGAAAACAGAGAGGTTGTGTTGTGAACACTTACTTAGGAAGCCATGGAACAAATGGCCCTTGTTAGACTGGGTCTAGATACCATTCCCTTTTCAGTAAGACAAGTTTGTTTCCTGTATATGCAGCTTTCATCTTTCTTGCATAGTCTTGGGGGGATGTTCTTTATATGTTTGGTCTTTCAGCCTGGAGACTCTTCCCCAGTCATCCTTCCTTCTCTCTAAAACCTACTGTCCAGTTTCCTCAAGAGATAACACTGACATGAGTAAAGAAAAAGGTGCTCCTGCAACATGTGAATGTGTCTCTAGCAAATGATCTCTCTGTATCCTGAATTGTGAGAAAGATAATCTTCATGATTTTGCATCAAATTAACAAAATCCCAGTACAACTGTATTTACTGCTCAGTTAAACATTCTATTCCTTTTTGGCTTTTTAGTCTGTCTGCTTTAAAAACTTCTTGTGAGAGAAGTCTTACCTCTCAAACACACATTGGATAAGTAAAATTTTTCTTTATCTATTTCAAACATATTCTTTGATTTTCATATAGATTTCACTTTTCCTAGTGGCAGAAATGCTAAATAGGCTCTTTTGCTACCACAGAAGTTAAGAAGTACCTTGTATGTGGAACATGGCATGGTGTGACCATGGAAATGTTATAGCTGCCACATGTCATTGACAGGTTATTGTCCAAAGATGTCTGTCGGGCAAGAACATGTCCCATGTGAAGGCTGGCTGTATCATGTGTGGGTACCTCAAACTCCTGCCCATGTTTATCATAGTGATGCCTGGAATGATCAGCCGGATTCTGTACACAGGTATGACACGGATACAGAAATGCAAAGTTCTTGCTGCCTGCCTTTCATTGCCAATCTCTCTGTCCCTTCCAAAGTACCTGTTAGATTGTCATCTTCTCATCCAGATAGTCCAGGGACCTTCAGCTAACTGCACTGTTAGAAGCCACAGGCCTTCCTTTTTTCCCTGATCCCAGGTTCCTGCTAATACTATTGCTGTCTGTTTTAGGGGGAAGAAATTCCACAGGGTCCCTCCCCAGCTGTCTGTTACAGCCCCACTCTGACTGAATGAGTGGAAAATGCTGTCCAGGACAGATACTGTGCTGGCAATTGGAGGGACAGGGCCATCAGTCACAGACTGCAGGGTTTGGGGCCATGGGCAGTCCCAAGGGCAGCATGGGGAAATGCCACTTTCCTGTCTCCCTGACCAGCAGAGATTTTGGCTGTGTTTGGCAGCAGGCAGAGGAGAGAGGTTCAGGCTGCAGGGAGTGGGCTTTGTGTTCCTCTGCTTGTTTTTCTACTTGGTTTCCTTGTGTTGTTCAGCCCTGGTCTGACAAATGAGCGCTGATTTTCTTTTGACCTGCAGCACTTGTCAGTATCCTTTTAGAGAGGAAGGGAAGGGAAGAGGCTTAGAATCACCTTCCTCCTGCCAGCAAGCCAAGGATGAAGTCAAACGTGTCAGTCTGGTGGCTCAACACCGAGATGCATTCTAGAAGCTCTGTTAATTTGGGAGCAATCTGTTGTTTACATGACCTTGTCTCAGTGTCTCATTATCCTCTCCTCAGATGTGGTGGCTTGTGTTGTGCCTGAAGTCTGTCAGCGCTACTGTGGCACCGCAGTGGGCTGCACAAACATTGCTTATCCAAAAATGGTAGTGGAGCTTATGCCAAATGGTAAGACACTGTCTGTATTTGTTGTTTCTTTGTTTTAGGAAAGCCAGACTGTAAAAACAAGTGATAGAGGGAGTCCAAGACCCATAGTTAGTTCCAAAATTCTTGCTAGAATTATGTACTATTAACCAAAGGGGTTGTCTGTATTAGCTGTAGGTGCAGAATGGCTCCACACTGACAGTGTCAGCCCTCAGCTGGCACTGACTGCATGCTGAAATGGTAAATGAGCTCCTTTTTTGCGAAGATAAAATATAACCTGCTTGGCCAATGATTTATAAAAGACTCTCTGCCAGGATCTCTGAGCTGGAGGCCTATTCCTGTGGTCCTCCTGCCAACCCCAAAGAGATGGGTGCTGGCTCATAAGGCAAAAAAGCCAGGTTATGATATTCCAGAGACCGTGGCACTCCCCTGATGGCTTTGGTACTTTCCCATCCTTGGATAACTGTTATTATAATCCTGCAGTACTTCCCCATGCTCTATGGCCAGACCAGACCACTTGGAAATGTGGTTTACTCTGGTTTTCAAACAGTAAAAGAAACTTGGTGGTTTTTTTGGCAAATAACTGGTTCACAAATATACTATAAGCAAGTGAGCACTTTCCTGCAAACAGAAGGAATTATTTTTAAAATTGTTGGGAAGAGTCTGCTTAATGTTATTTTATTTTTATTCCAGCCTTTAATCAGCCAGAATTCACTAAAGAAGTACCTATGTGCTAAAAGCTCAAGAGTTTCCCTGGCACTGCTGTAAACAGCTTTTTGCAAGCTCTGCTTGCCCAGCAAGGGAATGTCAGGCAGGATTTTGTGTCAGGCACATAAATGTGCCAGACACGCTCAGGGCTGGCCGATAGAAAGGGTCGGGCAGACAGCTGGTGGCAGGTACTGAGGCTGTCCAGGGAGCGCTCACCCCCAGTGTGACACACATTGTCCCCATCTCTGTGCTCATCCCCGTTCCCATCTCTGCCTCTGTGCTCATCCCTGTCCCCATCTCTGTGCTCATCCCTGTCCCCATCTCTGTGCTCATCCCCGTTCCCATCTCTGTGCTCATCCCCATTCCCACCTCTGTGCCCATCCCAGTTCCCATCTCTGTGCTCATCCCCGTTCCCACTTCTGTGCTCATCCCCGTTCCACCTCTGTGCTCATCCCCGTCCCCACCTCTGTGCTCATCCCTGTTCCACTTCTGTGCTCATCCCCGTTCCCACCTCTGTGCTCATCCTTTGTGTTCCAGGTCTGCGGGGTCTGATGCTGGCAGTCATGCTGGCCTCCCTTATGAGCTCGCTGACATCCATTTTTAACAGTGCCAGTACTTTGTTCACGATGGACATTTACACCAAAATTCGGACGCGGCCGTCAGAGAAGGAGCTGATGCTGGCGGGCAGGTGAGCTCCCGGCGCCTCCTGCCCGAGCCCGGCCGCTGCCCGGCCCCTGCGGCTGCGGCCGCTGTCCCGCCCGGCGCTGCTCTGGGACACACGCAGTGTGCAGGAAGCAGCCCGGCCGATTGTCACTGCTTCCCACTGCTGTTCCAAGGAAAGTCTTTTAAAGTGTCTTCCTGGGCTCCGTGCTGCACCAGGCTGCAGCATCAACGAACTGGTTCTAGTTCATCTGCTATTGATTTGTCTCTGGGCATGACAACCACAGGAGAAAAGTGATTTTGTATGTTTTGATTGCATATTTAACCATGTGCTGATGGATATTTGACATACACAATACCCAGCTTGGATTTCTTTTGTTTGTTCAGTGCTAATTTGCCATTATAATTGATTTCACTAGTTGAAATGCAAAGTGAACATGTAAATTATTGATTAATTGATGTTCTTTTTTCTTTCTGATAGATCATAGATACTTCTAAGCAGATGGCTAATTGAATATCTGGCTGTGTTTACAGGGCATTTATGTTACTCTTAATTGGCATCAGCATTGCCTGGGTTCCCGTGGTGCAGTCAGCTCAGAGTGGGCAGCTCTTTGATTATATTCAGTCTGTTACCAGCTACCTGGGACCTCCCATTGCTGCTGTTTTCCTGCTTGGTATCTTCTGCAAGCGTGTCAATGAGCAGGTAAGTGCAAATTAGGAAACAGGTATGCCACGTGTTCCTTTAGGAATTGGGAGAACTGGGTTTTTTTTTGTTATGAGCAACTTCTTCCTGTTTATTTTAATCCCAGTATAGCCCAGGGATTTTGTGTCTCCATACCCCAAAGCCTGAGGTTTCAGAGATGAGTTGGATAAAGTTCTTTCATAGTCTGATAGATAAACAGTCACCTAGGAATTCATAGATAGCTCTGAAGCTTAGGTTACCTATCACTTTGCCAAGAAATGTGTTAAAAGGATAATCTATGGACACATATTTGAAAGTTTTCATTTAGGATATTGGTCACCAAGCTGCTTTACCAAACAAACCACCTCTTACCTATCCTGTCCAGTTGGGTTTTGAATATCCCCAAGAGTGGAAACTGCACAGTGTCTCTAGGCAACCTGTTCCCATGATCAAGCACCTTTACAGTAAAACAACAAAAAATTTTGTTTAAACAGAATTTCCCATGTTTCAGTTTGTGCCCACACATACCTGTGTGTCTGTTACACCAGGCACCCATCAACAGTTCTGAGAATTAAATAACTACTCAGGGCCATTAGCAGGTAAACCAAACATACATTTCAGGAAGGATGACACAACATTCTGGCTGGTTCCATTGTGCCAGAGCTGTCAGGGATTAAGTCTTCAAAGGTAAAAAGGTATGAGAACAGCCCCTGGGGTGTGCAATCCATGGCTGAAACCTGTCCTGTAGAAGGAGGCAGTTGTGTGGAGGCAGATGGACTGTGAGAAATGGTCTGGATGCAGTGTCCTGAGGTGTGCCTGACATCTCAGAGCTGTTTGTTGCCCCTTTCAGCTGGACTCATACACTGAGCTGTAAATAAGGTCACTGAAAGGCTCTGGGTTAAAACCCACATGCCAAAGCCATTGTAGCACATAACTACATCCATGTTTCCTCCAGCAGCTGTTTGAGAGCTCAGAGTTTATTTCCACACCTAAAATGACTCATTTTGATCCCTTCTTGTCACACCCTTGTCTGCAGGGTGCCTTCTGGGGCCTGATCATTGGGCTGCTGGCTGGACTCAGCAGGATGATTGCAGAGTTTGCCTATGGAACCGGCAGCTGTGTGGCCCCTTCCAACTGCCCCTTCATCATCTGTGGCATTCACTACCTTTACTTTGCACTGATCCTCTTTGGGGTTTCTGCCATCGTCATCCTGGCAGTCTCCTTCATGACCAAGCCCATTCCTGATGTACATGTGAGTATCACTGCAGTCCTGCTCCTCAAGAAATGGAACACAATGAAACCACCAGTTCGTCCTTGGTGTGTTACCCCTCAATACTTCAGCCACCCCCAGCATACAGCTCTTGTAAGAAAGCAAAGGAAATAGTCTTCATTTACCTGTCACAGATCTTCAGTGGCTCCTGATAGCCTGGGACATCCCAGACATTGGGGATGCTGTGGCCTTACAGCCAGCTCAGGTGCTGGCCAGGCTGCCTGGTCTCTGTGTAGTCAGCCCATGATCAATTCAAGTCCTTTTGTTCCATGGCAGCTTTACCGCTTGTGCTGGTCCTTGCGGCACAGCAAAGAAGAACGGATTGATCTCGATGCAGATGAGGAGCAGGACAGAGCTGATGAAAAAGATGCTGAATCAGGTAACTGTTGAATACCTAGAGATTTTGTCATATATTTGAGTGTCCCTGTTTCATTCCTGAAGGAACATTAACATGCTTGATAGTTGAAGACATCCTCCCTCTCCCCAACAACAAATCCTCAGCCCCCACAAATTTAAATGACTCATGAGCTGCCTTTTCCTATCTCTCAAGCTCAGTGTAAATCAGAAGTGAAGTGGATTTGAAGGGAGAAAATCTTATTCTCGTGGTATCTGGGTGGCAGCTCTAGGACTAAAGCAATGGCAATGCTGTGGGTCAGAGGCACTGTGCATTGGCAGAACTGTGTGTGACTCCAGCGCTCGGAGGGAATTCACCTGTAAATAGTGGGTTGTGGTCAGGATTGAAGGCACCATGAAAGCAGACTGCAAACCCACCTGCTCTCTTTACTGGGTTTCTGGTTCTGCTCCCAAGCTCCTTTTCAGAAATATCCTCAAATTAATTTATTTGTCTTTCAATTAAGAGTGTAGAAAGTATTGAAAAAATGGAGTTTAAGCTTTGAAGCAGTTTGCTTCTCCAATACCAGGACAAGACTCTGGGCTGCAAAAGGCCCAAGTGTCTTCTGCAGAAGGCTCTCTTGGAACATGTAGAAAATCCTGTGAAAACATAATATTAACTTGATTCTTGTACTGTTTTGTACTAAAATGCTTCCACTGAATTACGACCATAAATCAGAATGGGAACGTCCCCAGTCCCAGAGATCAAGTGTGTGCCATGATCTGTACTCACCTTTCCTGACCACAGTGTTATTCCTTCCAGTTAATGAGGAAAACCAGGAGGACCCAGGATGCTGTAGGAAAGCTTACAACTGGTTCTGTGGCTTGGACCAACAGAAGGGCCCCAAACTGAGCAAGGAGGAAGAAGAGGCACTGAAGAAGAAACTGACAGACACCAGTGAAGTGCCTCTGTGGAGAAACATTGTGAATATCAATGGCATCATCCTCTTGACTGTGGCTGTGTTTTGCCATGCCTACTTTGCATAACCCCCTGATCACAGTCCTGAAATTGTACTGCATTGTTCAAGCAAAAATGATGGTTTGTAGATTTACACAATTAGATACAGATTGTATTTTCATCATCTACATTTGTAAAACACCAGAGTGATTTACTCACTGATTTTGTGATCATAATTTCAACAATTTAAAGATGAAGGCCACTGGGATTTCAAGAGAGAGAATTTCTATTTAGACATTGAACCAATCAAGGGCTAACTGAGGTTCAGAATTTCCATCCAGTATTCTCTCTGCTCATGATACATTTCATATTTTAGGTTCAGAACAAGGCTGTGTGAGCCATATTTCATATCAGGTTTTGTGAACTATCTTTTAGGGTTCACAATACTATTTTGATTTTCAACCGTTCCTCTGATCATTCAATTTTCCTTTTCCTTTGGCTATGATAATTTGATTGCAAAAAACTCACAACCACTGAGGGACTGTATTACAAACTCAAATTAAAACATTGCTTTTGACCCCCTACCATGGGATATCTTAAGTAAAGGATTTATGTATATATCAATGTATTTGATATTACATATAATTTTCCATTATCAGTTTTCCCCCCTTTTTCTCACTTTCCACTGGGTTGTGTTTCTCAGTTGTCAGTGGAACACTAACCTCTGAATTGATCACATTTTGAAGCTGAGGAACACCTGTCTTGATGATCCTAAGAAGAATTTTGCTTACAGTAGATTATCTGTTTAAGGTTAAGTTCCAAAGGTCCTCCTCTCTTGATATTTTAATATATACCTTTACTTGAATGTGAAGCTTTTTATACAAAATACATGTATTATACATACACAAGCAATACATTATGTATATGCACTATATATATTATATATATTTAAAATATGTATTTATGTGTGTGTATATATATTTATTTCTTGCTGATCAATTCCCACCCTGGTGTGTCAAGGCCCCCTTAATGTGGGCTTGGAGTCAATGTACTGCCTCTGTCTGTGGCTGTGCTGCAGACCAGCCCACGCCCATGGTGAAACATCCACAGCATTGGCATGCTGGGCTGCATTGTGCAGATACATCCAAGGGCTCTGTACTGCTTTTCTGCAAAGCTATAAATCTTTCCTCTGAAGATTTCATTGAGAAATAGGATTCCTGCTGCATGGCAGCATGAGTTAGCAGTTCAGGAAGGAGAATAGCCACAGCTGTGGGATATCAGCTAAACCAGGCTGATTGTCCCCACTCGATAAGTTTGGTACCAGCTGGGGACACAGGAAAAGACAGATTTAACACTTCAAAGCAAAAAGCAATAGATCTTCTTTTCATCTCATTCAGCTTCCTGGGGAACCAAGTGTAGAAAGAAGATGCTGGTTGCTCAGTCAGGCAGTGCCACAGTCCCCTGCTCCTTTTTGCACACGTTGGTGGGACTGCGCTGTCCCCTCTGTGGCTCTGCCGCAGGATGCTCCGGGCTGGCAGCGAGCGCAGCCGGAGGGGAGGGCAGAGCAGCCCTGCAGTGCCACAGCACACTGCTCTGCCTCCTGGGCTGTCACCACTGCCACTTCTTCATCTCCTGGCAGGATCTTTGCTTCATTAGGATCTATCCCCAAATGCTCTGGATTCCAGCAGAATTGCTGCTCTTCAGTAGAACTGGTGCTATTCAGCATAATCCCTGCAGGGTCCTTTGCATACGCCAGATCAAATCAGTACTTCAGAAATACCAGTGCAAACCTTAACAGTGATAGAGTATTTTAAAGACCATGGAATTAATTGTATTTAATGAACGATGAAGACTTGTATGTATTAAAGTAATTGTATGTTTTGAACTATTTGGTGTCCACAAAGTGATGGGATTCTTATATAATATGATGGAAGACAGAGAAACTTCATTTGGTGTCTAGGTTTTGGCTCTGGGTAATAGTAATGGATGAAAAACAAACAAGGAAGGCGTCACTGAGGATTGCCCAGGTCCCTCTTTGTCATTCTTTGCTACAAAAATACAGTGAAATTATAAAGCTATTTGAATAAAGACAAATAACACAAGTGATTTCCTGGCAGTCTGAGCAGCCTTTGGATGACCTCCTGGTTAATCAGGCATCATTGCATGATTTTGCTCCTCAGAACCACAGAGTTTTGAAAATCTAATGCACAGTTTCCCAGGGATATTCACTGTATGTCCTCAGCAACCTGATTCATTCTGGTCTGAAGGTGGATGTTGTGGAGGGAAGAGCTCAAATGTTTGGATAAAGTTTGACAACTACTGTTGACTCCTGTAATTTTGTAGAATTTCAAAGAAAAATTGCCTTATATTGTGAACAGTTGATAAAATTGTAATGTTTACTTAACATTAAATGCCAAGTCAGGTTGGTAACTATTGCATTCATGATTTTAAGAAAGAAAATGACTTTCCTTCAGTTTTCAGGGGAGCTCTGTCCATGAGCTGTTGTTGGGGACACTCAGCTAAAAGCAGTAGCTTACACTGTTCTGGGCATTGTCATGCTTTAGAGGTGGGAGGTGTGAACACACCCTTTTCCCCAGTGTTTGATTATACATCTGAAATACCTCTGGTTAGTGCTGAGACTCCAAATAAATCTCTGGCTCACAGCACAAGGTACCTGCACGGCATGTACAGCATAACACAGCTCTGTTTCAGGGGACCTTGAGGCATCCCAGCTTACCCTGTCAGGTAAGATATATGGTTAAACCTTATTTTAGTGAGCTTTAGTTAGATATACTGAATTATTTTAATAAAATAAAATAAAATAAAATAGAATAGGCAGTAGCATTGTCAGCAGATTGTGACACTGCTCTGTAAAGAGCACACACTAAACAAAATCATCCATTTAAGAAGTACTACATAGTTCTCAGGAAAAATCCTGGAAAAGGGTAATCACTGTTCATTGTATCCAAGTATCTCACAAATCTTTAGTATTGATGATGACGAGAACACCCTGTTCTTAGAACTCAGAATTTGGGTTCATTCCTATTTCATTACTGAAAAACCTCATGCACTGAGATGCCAGGGGAGGGAAGGTCTGGGACTTTGCCTGGAATCAATCTGCAGCAGCCATGGTTTGGTTTCTGTAGGCTGTCTGGCCATGCTGAATGAGGCCATGGCACAAGGCTGAGCTCCTCAGGTGCAGCTGATCGTGGTGATTGGAGCCCAGCAGCAGCTGGGACTGCCAGGGACTGCTCCCTGACCTTCCTCAATTGGCACCACCAGGAGTGTTCCTGTAAAGTAAAAGCCCACACAAAAATGAGGAGCAAAGCTAAACAATAAATCCAGGTACTGTCAGTCATTGTATTTGAAGGGCACTTGAGCTCATTGGTTTGAGGTGTGGAGCCAGAGGAGTTTAGAGCTGACATTTCTTGGGGCAGACAGCACAGAAAAGGGCTGGGCAGAGGCTGAGGGTGACAGCAAAGCTGCCCTCAGGAAAGCTGCTGGGTGCTTTAATTTGCTTAGTGGCCTTATGTGCCAGCTGCAGGTGTCTGTGCCCTGCAGTGTTCTCTGGGGGAGCAGAGAACCCACAGAGAGGGAAGGGAGCAGCAATCAGAGACCTTCCCTTGTGCTGCACCGAGAATCTGTAGTCCCAGATTCAATAACAGCAGGCAATACACTGCTGAAAGAGATGGGAAATACAAAAAAACCCTGGCTTTATCTGGTGATTCATGGCATTTGCTCATGGAGTGTGTATTGTAGGCCTGTGCTGGAGAACCTGAAGGACAGACAAAACTTCACTCCAATTTCTACCAGTTGTTCTGATGCAAGACAGTATAACAGTGCCTCTAGTTATCATCCTTATTATTAAAAAAAGAGGTTCCCTTTCTTGTGCCTCCTGAAGAACATTCCTTCTTGTCCTCTGCTATGGGCAGCTGTGAGAAAGAATAATTCCCCTGGAGCTCCTGAGCCCACCCTCCCCTCACCTGGCACAGCTGAGGCCAGAGCTGTGCCTGCCTGGGTCAGCACCTCCACTCCTTTTCTGAAGGTACCTGGAAGAGCTTCAAGCTGAAGTGTGGGTTTCTTGTCACTCCATCATGCATTTTGTTTTACAGAAATGGAGCCTAGAACTTTAAAAGTGTAGCTTTTATGCAAGGTGTGCTAAAACAAATTATTAAAATGGGTTTTGTTAATTCAAATTGCAAACTTTGTCTTGCTAAAAAGAAGTCCTGTGCTTTGAGCATATTAGCTTTGTGTGTAGCTGTCTCTGCCCTTCTGGTTTAATGTCATTAGCCAAATCTGATTTTCCCAGGCTATTTTGTCCTTAGACAAATTTCTTGCTATATGATTTTTATATTTTTTTAACAGGAAAGGTAGTGGTGGGAAACAAATATACTCCCTGCTTTGAAACATGAGGAGGTGGAATTAAAAGTTGTCATTTTCCAGAGCAGGACAGAATGGATTTCCACCCCTTGGCCTTCTGAAAGCGTGCAGGGACAGGGAAAATGAGTCTATAGTTGCAAGAACAAAGAGCCATAACATTCTTAACCTTCTGGAAACTGTTAGAAAAAATTCAACACGACCTCTGCCTGGATGGGACACAAGACTCCACAGGGAAGTCTTGTTTCCCATGGATGCAGCTGTCTTGTCTTCTGGTGCTGCTGGGGACTGCTGGGCAACTGGTTTGAAAACTCAGCCTGTGTAAAGTGTAAGTGCATTAATTCCAGTATTGACTTGGGACCATATTAATTATATCTGGGCCTTAATAATCGTTGGCTTCAAGCTAAAAAGGCAAATTGATTTCATTGATGTTAAAAATTTGCCTTGGTGCTAAAGCCATCAGAGCATAGAGCACTGGGGAGGGCACAGTGCTAAAACCAGAGACAGCATTTCCTTTGAAAGGGTGAGTTTAATTAGGGTGTGGGTACCAGATCCTGAGATGTTAATTTAAGTATTTGTAATGTGTACAAAGCAATTCCAAAAGATCTTCAGTATTTTTGTGACCAAGTCTGTGGTAGCTTTATTATGGATTATTCCTGACTGAAAGCTGTCAGTCCAGGGAAAGTGTTCATCAGCTGTTCCTTTGATTTCC